AAAGCAGTGTCCAGGAGTCCCACGTCTGCAGAGCCCAGCGATTTCTGTTGCTTGGCAATGCCATGGCCATTAACGAAAGACCGTGTGTTCGATAGAATGGGCAGAGGAGATTCCTAGAATAACTGGGGTTGTCTTGCCATTCATAGCTCGAAAATATCTCAAATTAGTTAGGGCTCCATAAAAGGTAGGCCCCCTATAGGCTTCAGAAAGTGCCACATACTGAAGTAAACAAAATGGCGTTTGGTGATACCTTTCATGTGACCAGAACACATCAAGTCAATTTTTAGCGCTCTCAAACAAATTTACTGTTCAACAAAGATGTACTTTAATAACTTTAGATAAGGAAGAGTTTGTCCGTTAGCAATATTCAGTGAAGTATGATTCGGGTAGCCAAAAAACCAACGTGACTGATTACTCGTCACATACATGACCAGTTGCAAGATACACGTATTAGAGTGAAGTAAGAAAAGTGGTTGTTGTTCTGCATAACAGTCAGTTCCGTCGTTACTTTAACCATTCAATGCACGTCCGCACCACTCCGCAACGCGCCTATTAAAACACAGTAGCATATTGCTAGTCCGTCTGAAACAAGATCGAAGCTGAAATCCCCGAATCCAAAGCACATTTAAGCTCAATTTCAGCCCATCTTCCCTCGAGTGCTATAACGTTTGTGCCCCTCTGCCTCTGCCACGCCTGCCGGCATGGGAGCTCTTGGTTGGTCTGGGTCTCACACGGGACGTTGTCGAGAAGGCGAAGATGGGCACGATATGTGTTCGTAGGGGTCGTTGCCGAGGCGTTGCTTGCTTCCTGCACGGGCTGGTATTGCCGGTGTCCCTTATTCTGTGGTCGCTGGTATTTGAAGAGCACACCACACCCATGGCACCGTAATCTACAGATCAGATGAAAGAATAAACCAGAGATAAGTGCCAGTAATCTCGATTTGCAAGAAGGTCAAGCAGTTTCTGGCTTCTCCTATAAATGTATACAAATAGTTTGTTCCAGATTGTCTGTATTTGACGTCGACACTGATCAGTTCTTGATATTTTATTCCAACAGTGAGAGAAAGCCTAGTCGAGAAGTTGGGCGGCGTTACCGAAAAAAATTGGAAATTCGATGCTGGCTTTGGAAAAAAAATTCGAGAAGCGTTGGGTCGGTCTGTGTGATTCAGTGACACTGTTCAATAACAGGCTCTTTTATCATAATTTCGCAAGTATTATTGAGTTCAACTCTTCGGAGGATTGGGACACAGGCACGTACACTCTTTGTAGCCCCCTTTGCGATTTTTTTCCTTCTGAGAATGTTTCGCACAAAACCAATTAGCAAAGAAACGAACGCATCAATAAAAATGAAATGTAAGATGTATTTGAGTTGTCCCCACCATGTCAAGCAATAATTCGTGTGTTGCTGCTATATATAGATCCAATTGGCTGTGCGTCAGTCTGCTTGTGAGTTACCGAAAGGCGAAGACATATTCGAGGGTACAATAAATCCATTTTCCAAATATCCTGCGAATTCGAGTCGTGCCCTCGCTCAAGGCCGCTGTTAATGAAATGCATTTATTTGTAATGGAGTAAGTCTGATCGGTCGTTACTTCAAAAACACCATCATGACTTTACAAAAAGGATCGCATCCGTGACGTCGGCGGAAATTTCTTCAGACGCAGGGTACCATCTTAGTGGTAGGATTTTGCGTAGATGGCAGTGGATCCGGCATAATGGTGGGAGTTAGCGTCCTGCATTTACAAAATGGGGGCGAGTACCCTAAAATAGCAAGCATGCCTGCTAGTGGGTATATTTTAGTGGGAATTTCTGGTTTTTAAAGTTATTAAATGACCAGTTGTGGGAAAAAACAAGAACAAGGGAAAATGTATCTCTCCAAGTGCGGATCCAGGATTTTTACTGCAAGGGGGAGGTTGATTTTTTTTTTGGGGGGGGGAGGAATTACAGTAGGCCCAGTTGTCGCCATTGTGGAAACTATTTAATATCGTTGTGTTGTCCTTAAATCAAACACGCAATAGGGGCAAGCGGGGGGGGGGGGTCTGGCGTATCAGTGGGTGAAGAGAACAAGAACCTGCCAGGCAAAGGACAAGGTTTTAACCCTGACAAGACACATGGTCAGACTTTACCTAAGCGAGTAAAGCTGCATCGTCCATGTAAAATGCCGCTGCGTTAGCGTGGCTGGTTTCTGTTGTGTGTATGGTATTCAAGGTCCGTTGCTGCTTTTTATTTCTGCTTTTGATATTGCTGCTTTTGTTGCTATTTTTTCAAATCGATATGCTTTGGACTTTTTGTTTGTTGTTAAGTGCTTTATTTTTTCAGCATTTAGGGTTGTTCTCCTTGACCGTGAAATAAATATTTCTTTGAAATGACGCTATATAAATTATACAACACACGCCCCCCTACAAAAAAATTCAATAAATAAATAAAGTAATGGCAAAGCAAAATCCGTGCATAATCCATACCAATCGAATAGATTTCGAACAACTAATTCCAAACAGTCTGCTGTAAACTATAACTATATTCACTCTAAAGTACACCACGCTTCACCAAATAGTATACAAAAATAGCGAAATAACAAAGATCATATTTCCCCTTACCTGGATTGCAAGTCCCAAAACAGTTTCTCAACACTTTCTTGATATCAAAATTACAGAGGTGTTATTCCCATGTCAAAAGGTCTCAATGCCAACATGTTGTTCGTAGGCCCTATCCAATTTTCCATCATCTCTTTAATTCCGTCTTTTTGACTTAGAAAAACAAAATATAGCATTGATACAGATAATCTTCCCATCGGCGTACGCAGAAAAATCAAGCTTTGGAATATACTGCTTTTGTCGGCCAAATCTTGTGGATTTCTCTTAATTTCTTCCTGTATTAAGCAAGTAACAAATAAATCCCTTGAATAATAAGCATAACCTTTAATTATGATATCAATGTTTACTTTTACCACGACCCATCCCATCAGTTCAATTTTTGTACACAGCTATACATGGGGACTCACCTTTTTGTAGTTCGGTTAGCTGAATGCTTCAAGCCGAGGCATCGGGCACATCTTTGAGTATACTATGAAGCTAGAACGTACTGGAAGCGAAGGTTACATCCAACTCAGTAATTATATCGCACGGTAAAATAATTCCAGCCTACGTCAGAATGACGTCCGTTCGAAAACAAACACCATTGGCGTGACCTCGGATTACCTTTGTCGTTTCGTTGGAGTCTCAGACATCACTTCTAAAAGCCTTCGTTCTAGAAGAATTCTCGCTGGCATCATTCTTCTGCATCTTTGTAAATTATTTAATCGCGTCACTGACAATCTTTGTCAGAATTGCTTTGCTTTGGACGTCTAGAACTTTCTCGCTCATGCTTCTGTATCTCTGGCACTGACATTCTTTGTCGGAATTGCTTTGGACGTGACAGCTGAATGATTGTCAGTCCGCATAAAGTCCGTGTAAAGAGTGGGTGATAATCACCGGGTTTCCGACGACCGTTACAGTCAAGTTAAGACGATGGATGATGAATGGCGTTCATAGCAGCTGGTATAATGGAAAGCATTGCCCGTGTTACAGAAGGGGATTACAGTGAATTCAATTTGACTATAATTTGCTTAGTTTGTTTTGTTTTATTTGGGTTTGTGTAAGACCACTGAAATGTGGGTAATTTCGTTTTAGTGCTTTCAATAACAGTGCTGATGTTTATTCAACAAAGATGCCTTCCCTAACAATTATTGTTTTTTTATTTAATTGTCCCCTCACAAGATGGACAACTAGTTTTTAATACCCACTCCATCTTCGACTAATTTCAAAATCAATTCGTATTGTCCCCACGTCTCCACTACAGAGGACTGCATTCAGTTTATTTCTTACATTATTTTGCTATATGCATGTACGCAACTTTAAATTTCCTTAAAGCCAGCTTGTTTAAAGACATCACCTTTAAAATTTATCAGGCCCAGCTACATATACATTTACAAAATTAAATTCGCATTTGGAACACATATCACTACGCTAATTTATAATCGTCCTCAATGTTATTTACATGCATTCATCTAAAGTTTATGTTGCTCATTTTCTGTTACGTACCCTGTTTTTTTTATGTTAGCTGTTCAGCGCGGGACTTACACTCGAGAAGCTTGCGTTTTTGTGGGTTCCATGCATTTCTCGATATTCACAATAATTGGTTTTTTTTCTCTCTCTCTTAATCATTAGGGCCTATTATATACAGATAAGGATCACCACAATTTTATGTATGCCCTTGAGTTGTACATGGATGTGCCATGAGATGAAATAAAAAGTAACTCTACATTACAAATACTATTTAAAAGGCTTGTACTTTTATATTAACTTGCGGAGTTTGATGCATGGAAGAAGATGCCTATTTTTAACGATATTTGCTGACTAAATAGTAACAGAGACTATCTAGACCAGATTGTGCCGGAAGAGGGAATACGTACTCCAACGCTTCTGGTGGGAGGTTACTGGCTAGTATAAATCACGTCCTCCATCCTGTTAAATTCGCTGCTATTAAAGCAGCAGGTTAATTAATAGGCGGGTAGCCTGGATATTGGATACTTTGGGGGGAAGTGGAAGCTACAGGCAGGACTGTAGCTTCTGTTTCTGAAAGTACTGAACTAAATGGGGCCTTTGCAGCGGAATACGGTGTAGGTTTCAATAGTTTCAAACTAGCGAGGGCTTCAGCCTTCTCCAGACTGGTTTTTAGGGGTCATAATTCTTTGGCTAGAAATGTCTTCGAAAGTCCTCCACTAACCAACTAGAAATTGAAAGAAAATTGACAGATGAAGAATGAGCTTGCATTCGATGTGTGAACACTTGAAAAACTTGTATTTTTTATTTTTATTTATATTTTTTGGGTGTTTGTAAGTTGGTCTACAAACGTTGGAGCAGAGCCGTTGAATGCCCGCCCTCTATATTTTTTTCATTTACGACAATAAAGTAGTCAGATCCCGACCCTCACTACACGTCTTGGTGTAAGTTAAAGGTGAGACGGTGTTGACCTCAGTACCGACGCTTTATGTGACGGACTCACTGAAATTACTGCAGGTGTCAAAACTTTGTGTCTTTAAATTGAGAAACACTACAATGTACGTAAAGTGTTCTCGTGATTCATTCGTGTTATCAAAATAACAACCATGTTTGTAGGGTTTGTTTTACTGAGGCCTAGTTATAGGTCGCGTGAAATAGTACTGAGTACCGGTAATAAGGTAGGCCTATCAAATGATAATTGATAGTAGCCTAGGCCTATAATTTTTTCACATGATAGGCCTGGTAATCATACTACATGTACCAGTACTACTACCTACTGGTGCGGCCGGCAATTGACGATTGATAATGATGGGTGGTGTTTGTGTTATGCCCCAACTATAGCGTCTGTCCCAACTACAGCTGGGACACTCCCAACTGTAGTCAGGTAGTGCTGCAGTTGAGTGGCCCAACTAGTATTGTTGACCAATTTCTATCGAAATTTTCTCAACCATATCCAAATTATGCATCTAACACTTGACACAATTCATCTAAAATATGGCACTTCATGGCATGACACTGTAAACGATATGACTTTGGCACATGCTGGACACATGCACTCTGGACCTCTGTGCTGTAGTTGGGCTGGCCCAACTATAGCCCTCTAGTTGGGATATGCCCAACTATGGTTGGGCATGTTGGGACTGATGTAATAGCTGGAGATAACAATGGCAATGGATGCCATGGTCAGCATGGTCGGGAAGTCCACCTGGCCATCAATGGGACCTTCTGTGACATCTAAATCTTGACTGTCACTTTGTCAGTGATGTAGATGTACCATGTTCATCATGACATTAGATTGTTTTGTTTACGCATGGTGTGGGTCAACTCGGTCAAAGCCAGATGGTCCCTAGCTACATGTAGGCTTATGGTCAGATGGTCAACTTGACAGGTGCTCGATCCAAGATCAAATGGGGAAGTGAACCAAGCTTAAGGCAAGGACCAGGATTCAGTTTCAATCACTAATTTGCATGATTCATCTTTGACCTTTGCTTTGACAGACCTTAGATTTGACAGACCGTAGACTTGGCAGACCTTAGATTTGACAGACCGTAGACTTCACAGACCGTAGACTTGACAGACCTTAGATTTGACAGACCGTAGACTTGACAGACCGTAGACTT